AAAAAACGTAAAAAACCACTGTCGGCGACTTGAAAAAAGGCTGTCAGGTGCCGTGGCCTAGGTTTCTCACTGAAAATCCTCGTCCCCCGGCGGCACCTTTTTTTGAATTTTCTTCCTTTTCAACGGCGTTTTTCGGGGATTTCGGATTTTTTTTGAATTTTTTCGCAATAATATTTGAAAAATAGATAAATTTTAACACATTTTAATGCAATAAAAATTACTGGTCGGAGTCCCCCTTTAAACAAAAAAAGTTAGAATATTTGAGTTGTTGAGATTAAGAGCTTCAAAATGTTGCTAAATTTGAATAGATTTTTTGAAAAATTCTTTAAAAAATCCTTCAAAAACTTCCAGATCTACTCTCTGATGGTCGCTCGATGTTTCTTTCTGGATGTGCTGAGGATGTCTCCGATTACAATATACGGTAACTGATTGTTTAATTGAGCAATTTAATAATTTGAAGTTTTCAATTTTGGTAAAATCTTGGAATTTTCCATTTTTCACTTCTTGAGCAAATTTTTTTCCGGAAAATTCGGGTATCAAATTGAAGCTCATAACCTTCTAAATTCAAAAAAAATTAACTAATTATCTAATTACCCCTAATTAAGTGCCTACGACGACCATCTAATGTGTCACACTCGTGGAGCCGTTGGATTATGTGTGTGCTCCAGTGCTCAACCGAGTTGCCACGATTTGTGGCCAACACAGAAGAATTCGGCAAGTCCCGGACCAAAAAATATGACGACTCATATCAAATGGATCGACACTGATGTCAATCAGATCAATGCGATTTCTCATGTGAGTATCTAAAAATTTTTTTTAACTTTTCAAAAATTTGAAATTTGAAATTTTCAAAAATCCGAAAAAAGCTCCCCGAGCACATTTTCTTGTCAATTAGGGTATCAAATTGAAGCTCATAATCTACTGAATTCAACAAAATTAGTTTCATCTCAAAGGTTTCATTTCAGAGAGTAACCGGCTTCTCCGCAGACTATGCTCGCAGTCGAGTTGGCCAGATGCGTGTGGAGCATTTCCCAGAGCAATTTCCAGGATCACCAGTTTCCTTTGCTCCTACTTTATCAGTATTTATCGTATTTCTGGCTACAGTAATCCTTTTTTAGCTACAGTAATCCTTTTGCTACTTTTTCAAATTCGAAAACGGGCGATTTCTTTCTTTGAAATAAAAATTTTTAGAGCATTTATCTTTTTCTAACTTAACGACTTGCAAGGTTTTATGTATCTTTTTTCTTCTGGTTTGAAAAGAGAAAAATGGAAAAAGACACTAAAATTTTATTTCATTTTTCGAGATTTTCTGCTCCCTTTCTCCTTTTTTTCCAAGATTTTCAAATGGAAAAGTACTGGTTTTGATGCTAATTCGATAATTTGATTTGTCTAGAGATATCCATGTCACTTTTTTTTGGGATCAGATGGAGCACTTGAACGCATCTCTCTATCTTTTTGATGGGAATTTGGAGATTTCAATTTTCTGATTTTTTTTTCTTGTAAAACCAGGGATTCACTATCATGGTGCATCGACAAAAATGAAATCCACATTTTCTGGGATGATATTCAATTTTCAGCAGTTTTCATTATTATGGTTAGATTCAACACAAAAGTCCATATCGAAATGACCTATTTACCGATTTCCGCATTTTTGGCTCAGACGGGTAGAGGGGCGACTGGCAATCTAGAGGTCAGGGGTTCGAACCCCACCGGGTCAAATCTTTTTTGTTTTTTTTTTCATAGTTTTTTTTAGATGTTCTAGAGAGGCTAGAAACCAAAAATGAGCCGTTTTGGGCTCCCTACATTAAATAATGCATTTTCGGGTATGAAAATCAATTTTCAGCAGATTTCATTATGATTTCTAGATTCAGAGCAAAATTCCACATCGAAATGACCTATTTACCGATTTTCGCATATTTGGCTCAACTGGGTAGAGGGATGATTGGCGATCTAGTGGTCAGGGGTTCGAACTCGCCTGCGGTATAATTATTGGAATCTTTGTCAAAATTATTTTAAACACCTTTTAGATACTTTCGAACTTTAAAAACTACACATTTCGGGAATTTTTTTTTGTTATTTTCAAAATTCCCGTTTTTGGTGCATTCATCTATACTTTTCAAATTATCTCGAGTTCTAAAAATGCAGGAACAAAACCAAATAGATTTTCAAATTCAACACAAAATTCCGCAGCGAAACGACCTTTTTACCGATTTTCGCATATTTGGCTCAACTGGGTACAGTGATGACTGGCGATCTAGTGGTCACGGGTTCGAACCCCACCTGACACAAATTTTTTGTTTTTCTTTTCAAAACGTCTTCCAAAAAAAAATAGATCGAAGCAACATGTACAACATGTATTTTGTAGTTTCGGCAATCTTGAAAGTTTGAGAATTTCGAAAATTATCAAAGAGGCACCATGTTTTTTGAGAATTATTGATTTCTGAAATTTGATTGATTTTGGCACAAAACTGTCTCACAGTGTATAAAAGATTCTAATTTTAAATTCCTAACTGTCAGATTTAGTAGTTACAGTACTGGTCTATTAGATATTCAGAAAAATATTGTATACCGTAAAACCTCTAATAGAACGGCACCGGGACCGCCCACTCTGACCGTATNTATCTCATTTTCTGTGAAAGATATCAAAAAGTGGCTAACTAGTAAAATGTTGCTGATATCCTGATAAACATTTTACTACTCAACCACTTTTTGATATCTTTCAAAAGAAGTGAGATATATAGGCTCAAAGTGNNCAATTCGGGTGTCGTTCTATTAGAGGTTTTACGGTATTTGCCGTTTTCCGAAGGACACAGTACGAAAACAGGTAAAATGTGTGTCTTTCAGAAATCAGCCAGTAACTGAAAAATTAGGAATTTTCTAAAAATTCTACAAATGCAAAGTTTTCAATCTAGGTCTGTTTTAAACCCTCCAAAATTTTCAAAGCGATCAGCAACTCGACAGCCAAGCTCCAGGCTCTTGAAAATTGTCAAAATGACCGAAAATCAACTGAAAATTAAGATGTCTGATAAACCGGTACTGTAGCTATTTTTCTGGAATCTCAATTATTTTGATGGGAAAACTGACGCTAAATTCAGAATCCTTCAGAAATTCAACAATTTTCCCATTCCAAAGTCCCCTTCACCTTCTTCTTATCTCCCTTTCTCCTGTCATTTTCGAAAAATGTGTCGCATTCTCTCCAGGGACATATTATCCACCGATCACATCTTCATCCCCCCTTTTTCCTTCCAATTTCTTCCTAGAAATTTTCCAATTTTTCTTTTTTTCACTCTCTTTTCCTGTGGTCCCAATATAATATCGTCATTTCCATTTCCCGCCTTTTCTTTTTTAGTGCTGGGAACACAAAATAAATAGGGTGACTGGAAAATTTATGAGGGGGCTTTTCGTTTTTTCTCGGTGGGATTGACTCCATTTTTTGGGTTTTTCTAGGGTTGGATCAGAGCTTTTTGGGGTACACAGTTCTTTTTTTTTTTTTTTTGGGAATTCGATTTTTTGAAAATTTCCATTTTCCTGACAATTCAGACACTTGGAATTTCTCGATTTTTTCTGAATTTCTGAATTTCTGAATTTCTGAATTTCTGAATTTCTGAATATCTGAATTTCTGAATTTCTGAGTTTCTGAATTTCTGAATTTCCTGAAATTTCTGAATTTCTGAATTTCTGAATTTCCGAATTTCTGAATTTCTGAATTTCTGAATTTCTGAATTTCTGAATTTCTGAATTTCTGAATTTCTGAATTTATGAATTTCTGGAATTCAGAATTTCTGAATTTCTGAATTTCTGAATTTCTGAATTTCTGAATTTCTGAATTTCTGAATTTCTGAATTTCTGAATTTCTGAATTTCTGAATTTCTGGAATTTCAATCTTTAGAATTTTTGCTATTTAAAATTTTAAAAATTTAGATTCCAAATTCGAATTTTTTGTTTTTTGTGACATTTTCACAATCAGACAAGCCACAAAAATTTTGTATTCGGTCGAATGAATTTCTTCTTCTCATTTCTAGAAATTTCTAGAAATTCTCATGACTTCATTTTTGTTTTCTGTCATTGATTATTTTTCTTCTCATCAAAAGTGTTATTTTCGTAAAAACCGAATCTCGAAACGACCTGCTTATCGACTCATCGAAACGACCTGCTTATCGACTTTTGCATTTCTGGCTCAACTGGGTAGAGAGATGACTGGCGATCTAGAGGTCAGAGGTTCGAACCCCATCGGGGTTAACCTTTTTTGTTTTCTTTGTAAAACGTTTTTTAGTGTTCTGGAGGGACTAGAAACTAAAAATTACCCATTTTGAAATCAAAAACATGGTGCTTCGACCAAAAGGAAATTTGAATTTTCAAAACTGAAAATCTGTTTTCAGCGTATTTCACAAACATTTTGAAAGTCAGCACGAAATTCCACATCGAAAATACCTATTTACCGATTTTGGCATTTTTGGCTCAATTGGGTAGAGAAGTGACTGACGATCTAGAGGTCAGCGGTTCAAACCCCACCTGGGTCAAATCTTTTTGTTTTCTTTTTCAAACGTTTTTCAGTGTTTTTCATGTCAAAAAAAAGCTAAATTGAGAGCGATCAAAAATTCATAAAATACTTTGCTTGTCAATCTGTTTTTTTTGTGCCTCTTTTTTCCATCTGCCACCGACCGGAAATATTTCTGAATGATGTGAATAGTAGGAGGGCTCCAAATAAGAAAACTACAACCAAATATTTTTTCCAGACTCTTTTCTTCTTTTTTTTATTACTTTTCTCAAGATTCCGCCTCTCTAGAAAATATTTTAATAATTTTTTTTTTCATTTTGAGTTTCTAAAGTGTTTCTCAAGGTCCCTTCTTTTTCCTAAAAAGTAAATCCTTCTAGAAGAAAATTAGGGGGCGTGGCTTGGTCCATTTTAAATTGACCATGAGAAAATGGAGGAAAAATAATGATGATGCAGAAATAGAGCCTATTTTTTGGAACCTTTTTTACCTCAAAAAATAGAAAAATAGAAAAAAATTCAGATATTTTTTTAAATTCTGAAAATTCAGAAATTCAGAAATTCAGAAATTCAGAAATTCAGAAATTCAGAAATTCAGAAATTCAGAAATTCAGAAATTCAGAAATTCAGAAGTTCAGAAATTCAGAAATTCAGAAATTCAGAAATTCAGAAATTCAGAAATTCAGAAATTCAGAAATTCAGAAATTCAGAAATTCAGAAATTCAGAAATTCAGAAATTCAGAAATTCAGAAATTCAGAAATTCAGAAATTCAGAAATTCAGAAATTCAGAAATTCAGAAATTCAGAAATTCAGAAATTCCAGGAAATTCCAGAATTTGGCAAAAATTCCAAAAAATTACTAAATTTCCATGATTTGAAAATTATGAATGATCCAAAATTTCACCCGAAATTTCAAATCACCCAAAATTTGACAATTCGAAAAGATCAAAAACTTTATGAACTCCAAGTAATTTAGAAAATCTAGAACATCTCAAAATTATCCAAACTTTGTATTCTCAAAAATTTGTAAAGTTCAAAAACTGAGATGACAAAATTTCTATTCTGAAAAAATCTGGAATTTCAAAGAAACCAAAAAATTTGAATTTGAAAATCCAAAATTGATATTTTCCTTTTTTTATTTTTCTCCTTCTTACCATTT